TTCTTCTTCTTCTTCTTCTTCTCTTCTTCTTCTTCTTCTTCTTCTTCTTCTTCTTCTTCTTCTTCTTCTTCTTCTTCTTCTTCTTCTTCTTCTTTCTTCTTCTTCTTCTTCTTCTTCTTCTTCTTCTTCTTCTTCTTCTTCTTTTCCCCTCCTACTCTACGTACTTTATATTACCTAAACGAACACCCGTGCAGGTCAAGTACTACCCCATCCAAGGCTTTGAGCGCACGCGGTTCAAGGGGTATGTGGGGCTCATTCTGGCGCGTCCAATTCTTCAAACCTGGAGCGACTTTTAAGGCACCTCAAGAGTCAGTCATGTGTGTGTGCATAGTAGGATGGCTGGTGGTTCGCTCTTTTCATTGCTACTTGCTGAGCACTTCATTCACAACTCTTGGTCTTTACATGATGCATTGCTTGTGTTTCTTTCCTTGGCATTTCAAGATTCGCTATCTTGGCTTGGACAATGTCTCTCTCACCTCCTTGCCCTTCTGCCACTCTCCCACCGCCCGTGCCGGCTTTTCGTATACCAGACGATCAAGTACCAGGATGCTGGCTGCTACACTGGCAGGCTGAACCACGTTGTCCTCGTTATTGGCTACTCCGTTACAGTTGGTGAAAAGGAGAAACTGCGCATTCCCCCTCCGTACTGGATCACCCGCAACTCGTGGGGAGTGGAGTGGGGAGATAAAGGCCACATGCGCATGGACATTCAGGGAGGTGATGGCGTGTGTGGCATCAACGTGCTGCCTGGCATCTACCCCATTGTCAAGAGTGAGGCATCTTCCCCATGGTCAATAGCCAAGTCCTTAAGCAAATAGAATGGCAAATGGAGGAGTCAAGGTGATTCGGAAAGAAAGAAAGTCTGTTATTATTGACCCGTATAAGTCATTCAAGAGGTCCCGTTATTATGGACCCGTATAAGTCAATCACGAGGTCACTCATATGGGTCAAGAGGCAAGCAGAGGCATGGGAGGGCAAGGGGGGCAAGAGAGGGAGCTGCTCTTTCAGTGACTTGCCACTCTAAGAGGAATCGCTTCTGTTTGTAGTTGTGGGGTGGCTTCGGAGTGGTTGGTGTCCCCACACTTTAGCCTTTCTCAGTGTGCAACCTCTTAGTCCCCATCCCTAACCCTCTCACCTTCCCTCCAATTATCCTCCTCGCCTTCCTCTCGCTCTTCTCTTCCTGAACCTCCACCGAGGCAGTCCCGGGCGACCCCTGTCTTCTCCAGGGCTTTAAATTTGACCGGGAGGACTGGCCGGCCATGAACCCGTGCGGGCGCTTTGACTGCCGCGCCAACGCGCGCCGCACCTTGTACACATGCAACTGCAACCTGCCCCGCCCTGGGCCCCAGCCGTTTGTGGAGGTCGCCAACGCGGACGCCTCGCGCACCTGTGCCTACGGTGGGTTGGGGTCTCTTGTTGAGCTTGGGAGCTGGGCTCGCCGCGCACTTTGCACACGTGCAACTGCAACTTGGAGCGCCCCGGCCGACAGCCCTTTGTGAATGTTGCCATTGCGGACGCCTCACGCACCTGTGCCTCTGGTGGGGTGTGGGGGTGGGAGAGTGGTGATTTCCTGTGTGTGTTAGGTGGTGGTTGGCTGTACTGTGCTGTGTGGTGGGGTGCTGTGCTGTGATGTGCTGTGCTGTGATGTGCTTTGATGTGATGTGATGTGATGTGATGTGATGTGCTGTGCTGTGCTGTGCTGTGCTATGCTGTGCTGTGCTGTGCTGTGCTGTGCTGTGCTGTGCTGTGCTGTGCTGTGCTGTGCTGTGCTGTGCTGTGCTGTGCTGTGCTGTGCTGTGCTATGCTGTGACCACTGAGGTGCAGACAAGGGGCATGGAGAGTGGGTATGGATGTGCGCGGATGTGGGCGTGGCTATGAGCTTGAGCATAAGCATGAGCACAGGCAGAGGCATGGGCTGGGTGGGACACAGGGATGGCCTTTCTCCTGCCTATCCCGTTGCCTTTCCCCTTCCCTTTCCCCGTGCCTTTTTTCTTTCTTTTCCCCATTGCCTTTCCCCTTGCCTTTTCTCTTGCCTTTCTACTTGCTTCCCCTTACCTTTCCTGATGCGTTTCCCATTGCCCTTCCCCTACTTTCCTTTTTGCCTTTCCCAATTCTTTTTCATCTTACTCTCCCCTCACCTCCCCCCTCACCTCCCCCCTCACCGTTCCCCTCACCTTTCCCCCTCGCCTTTCCCCTTGCCTTTTCTCTTGCCTTTCCTCATGCTTCTCATGTGTCTGACCTCACTCTTGGAGAAAACTTCTAGGAATACAATCAAAACTGCCTGCCTCCACACTCTCTCTGTTGCATGCTCCTGTGCAACACCTCCAGTGGACGTGTGTGGTTCCCACACCAGCAACCCCTGTGCCGTGGGCACATGCATCAACAATGGCAAGGGCTCTTACTCCTGCATCTGCCCTCCCAACTACGCCGCCAGCTCCACCATTGACAACTTCCCCACCTGCGGCCCTGGTACCTCTCTCCATCCCCATGTCTCCCCTTCCTGCCTATGTCATCCTCATTTTCCCCAGTACATACCTAAGCACTGCCACACCACTTATTCCGCAATGCGATTCCTCCATTCTATCCCTCCCTTGCTCTCCACCACCATCATCTCCCTCCTGCCTTTCTCTTCCCATCTCGAACTCCCTCTCACCTTCTCCCCTCCCCTCCCTGCCTTCCACTTGCCTCTCTTTCTCCCTCGCAGCCGACGTGACAGCAACAACAGTGGCAGTGGGAGCAGACAACTGGCAGTGTGCGGACGTGCATCCAGTCATGGGGCTCACCCTTTCCATCTTCACCACACTCAACAAGGTGAGTCTCGAGGTGCATTAAAGCTCATCTGACTCCATGCAGTGTGAGTGTGCGGGCAAATTCCAGTTTCTCCACGTGCATCCAGTCATGGGGCTCACCCTTTCCATCTTCACCACACTCAACAAGGTGAGTCTCGAGGTGCATTAAAGCTCATCTGACTCCATGCAGTGTGAGTGTGCGGGCAAATCCCGGTTTCTCCACGTGCATCCAGTCATGGGGCTCACCCTTTCCATCTTCACCACACTCAACAAGGTCAGAGAGGTTCTACTGGAGGCTCAAGTGGAGGTTCAACTGGAATGGCGCCTACTGGGTCTGTTTTATCATTAAGGGTCAGTTGTTTATGAGTTGGGAGCAGTCAAATGTGCCGGCGCGGGCATGAAATGCTGGTTGTGAGCATTTGACATGTCCATGAGGAGATTTGAGGTGACTTTTGAGTCAACTCAAAAGTCACCTTGCTGGTTGTGAGCATTTGCCAAGCCATGAGGAGATTTGATTGAGACAGCCTGAAAAGCGTTTTCCACACCCTGCCACCCATGTTAGGTGTCTTTTCACCATTCCCACCCTTCAAGCTTCTTATTGTCCCCTCCTTTTGCTATTGCTTGGCCTGCTTTGTTTCTGAACACTGCAGGGCATTGACTGCAGCAAGCCGCTGAAGAGAGGCACAACACTGAATATCAAGCCCCCTTCACCCATTGTTGCCTGCACCACCTTTTTCTTCACTGTGAACGTGAGTCTCTTTGGTGGTCTCTTTGGTTTTCGTTGCACGAACCTGTCGCAAAGTTAAAGCCGTCGGCCCAAGCTGTTCATGTTCAGAAACCTTTATGGGGAGGGGGTTCATTTGTCTAGGTTGTGGTGAGAGTTTCGATTTCGTCAAATTCGTGTTTTTCGCCAAACCCAGCCACGTCAATAGTTCCAAATTACAGGTGAAGTTCTTTCAAGTTTGTACATTCCTCGATATCAACTTTTTTAACCCGCACGCTCCACAATTTGGGCCGCGGGCTTTAAGGGTTTTAAGGGTGTCCTTGAACGTGCCTGGGCTATGCATGACAAAGAGGGAAATTGTTTGTCTGATTTATTTTCCGCACTGGGAGAGCAAGCTGAGTGCATTGGCCCGGATGAACACCAAGCAACAGCATGCACCGGTGTGCCTCTGTTCTGAACACAGTATGAGAATTCTCCAATTAACAGTTTTGAGAATCTTTCAAATAAGCTGCGTTTGAAAAATTGCACGTACAGCGAGAAACGCAATGCATCTATCTGCCTCTATCGTTGCACACCCAAGCTGACGATCCCACCCATCCACCTCCTCCACACACACACCATCCCCACAGGGAGATACATGTGACTCCATAATCAATCGCGTGCAAATGGCAACCGACGGCACCTTTGCAGCCCTCAACCCCGGGGTTGACTGCTCCAAGAGCCTCTCTCCTGGCCGCTCTCTGTGCCTGGAGCGCAATCCAGAGCTCGTGAGCACGGCGCCTGTGTGCTTGCAATACGCGATGCTGACAGCGCAGGAAACGTGCGAGCGGCTGCTGAAAGGGTCTGTTGCCATAGTGAATGCGGCTGCGTGGGCCGCTCTCTACCGCAACAACCCCGGCCTCGTCTGCTCCAACACCATCCCTGGCTCTGCTTCGGCTGCTGGGAGCAACACTGGTGTGCAGGTGAGAGGGCAGGCGGAGGGCGGGTGAGCGCAACGCTCCTGTTTGTTATGTTTTTTGGTCATGCGTTGCTCCTCACGTGCTCTTTCAATTGGTGTGTTTTTTTATCACGGTTCACAACCCAGGTGTGCCTGCGAGCGGAGTATTGGAATTTTCAGATTGGTGCGTGTGTGAAGGGAAAGCAAGAATCCATCAGCCCAAAAGCAACGTGCTCATCTGTCCTGCTAAAGTACTACGATAATAATGCATTGCTGTACAAACAGTACAATGGCAACCAAGCATATGCTCCACCCGGCGCACAAAAGTGTGCGTGCCTCGTTAGTCCTGGCGGTACGCCTTGGCTTCCATACTCGGCCATTAATCTGTAAACACTTTCCCGTAAAAGAGGCATGGGTTGCAGTACTATTTTACTGTATGTGCTAATGTGATGCAACTTTTAAAAACCCCATTGTATGCTTTGTTGGATACGATATGGTTTCCTGCCCCTGTTTTTAGACGGTTTTTCGATTTTCATTTCTAGCTTGATAAGCAGCAACAACAGCGACGGTTTTTCATTTCTCTCCTATCGCACTTACCGAAATCCCCAATACTGTACCGCCTGTCTTGTCAGTTGTAAGGAATTTTCTCGGCATTCCTTACGGAGCCCGACTACATCGCGTACAGCAACAGCCGTTGTTCGCCCGTTACTGCTAACGGGGCTTCGCCGACTTCGCGCGCACTGTTTCACCAAACCTCGCACTGCTGGCCTGGCCGTATCGGCCTACGCTTC